ATTGAAATTTGTCCGGATTTTGGCGACGCACCCTGTATTTACCTAACTCTACATGACCAACCTCACGAGCATTTTCGATGTAATTTTTCATATTATTAATTGTCTCTTCATTGATCTCCACATAAAGATCATCATGTTTTATTAAACACACATTGTGTAGCATACAATATGCAAGAATATATTTTGAAATTAAGTCAATACGTTCCATAGCAAATACAGTTAAAGACTTCAAAACCTTCCTTTTAACAAACCAAATGCCTTTTCAATGCAGTTCTTGCTGAAGCAAGACAAAATTTATCGTTTTTTTGATGCTCTGTTAAATGACCATGGTCTTTATAGGGTATTAATAAATTATCGTGCAATTTATAAGCTTGGTCTCCAATTAAATGACAGTCTTCTGGAAATTTAGACTCATCTCCCAAGTAAGTTTGCATGTTTGACAAGCGGAACACTCGTCGATCATGGACAGATCCTACATGTCCTGCATAACAATGAATAAATTGACAATTATGATCACAAATAGCCTGAAAAAAAGAAAGATATGTAAACTTCTAGAAAATCAATAAAATTTTACAGAAAGCGTTTATAGAACAAACTGGTATACAATAACTATTATAGAAAGCAGAAAAAGACATATCACCTGAAGGTGAATTGAATGTTGACCTTTCCGGTTAACGTAGACTTCAGGATTGTCTATGAGAGCAGGTATATTAATATGTGTATCATCAATAGCACCAATAATTTTAGGAAATCTACTAGTGGCTTCAAATCCTGTCCATATTTCAGTAACTCGCTCTTCTGTAGGCCATCTAATTCCAATAGGTGCAAATTCAACAAGTGCATCTATAACACGTCTCGTTGCATACAACGCAGTACTTCTCCCAACATTGAATCTTTCGCAAATTGACCTATGTAGATATTATAAAACAGATATTATGAAAAATATTATAATTGCTTGATTTATAAGTTGATAATCCAGAAAATTACCTGAAAGAGTCTGGAGTAGCTAATCTCCACAATGCTAATAAAAACTGTTTGCGTGGAGAAATCATAGGTGATCCAATTTTTTGTCTTTGTAATTTTGGCTCAATAAACAACAAAAGATAACACAAGCACACAAAAAAAATGTTCGGGTCCACAGACCAGACAACTCATTGTATATGTATTTTGAGACGCTGAATCCATTTCCGTAGTCAGTTCACCCCCACTACGTCAGGAGTTTTGGCAAAACTTAAAAAATACCAAAAAAATCACTAAATTTGCATTTTTTGCGGCACAAAAACCAGTTAAACTGAAGGTAGAACTACCAACAAACACTTACCAATTGGTGTTACACAGAGTAAAAGATCCAATTTTCTTTTTATTATTTAATCACACGTCTTTTTTTTCTACTTTTGTATCTTTATAGTTTGCATCTTTATTTTATCAACATTGTAACAGTTTGTAAATATTATTTTATAGTTTATAGTTCTTAGTTTCATTCTAAATTTTATATTGAGAAGAAAGTGAAATTAAAGCAACAAATTATTAGCTATATATATATATATATATGTATTTATTGTATTATGTGTAATTGAATCTTTTATTTTTTTATTACATCAAATTATATATCACAATTATATACAATTATATATAATTATATACGATTATATATGTATATATCACTATTTTAACCTTCCATGATGGAATCTTCATTATCGTCGTCATCGTCGTCGTCGTTGTTGTTGTTGATGTTGTCGTCGTCGTCGTCGTTGTTGTTGTTGATTTTGTCGTTATCGTCGTCCCCACTGAACTCTGACAAATGAATCGTTTCTCCCTCATAGATGTCTGCAAGCTTTTTGTTCACCAGCCTTCTTCGTAATTCATACGCCCGTTCCTTTTCCGCTTTCGCCTGTTGCTGCTGCTCATCGGCATTTCCATTAGGCCGTATGTGCATCAGTATTTGCACGTCTTCATCTAAAAATTCAATATAAAAAAGTTTATATATGATTTCTTTATATTATATTTCTTGTTGTTTAATTATTTAAAGATAGTTTACGGAATCAAGGGCTATAGGAGGAGGAGAAAGAAGCTCCGCTTCATCTCTACGGCTTTTTCCTAAAATGTGAAACTCATTAGTTAATATATTTTTATTCTANAAGTTAGTAATTTTTGTTTTATTGCTTATAAACTTACGCAGAGGAAGTTTATTTGCTTTTTCTTCTTCTTCTACCTCCTTTCGCCGTTGCCGTAATAAAGACAGGCGACCTCTCCTCTGCATTGGCGCTACTTGCGCTATCGAGCGAGGTTCCGCGGTAAAACGACGGGGCACGAGCGGCGACGCGTTCCGCGAAACGATCTCCAACGCGCTCGCATCTTGCTGCTGCTGCTGCCGAGAAGCAATAGCAAGCCGAGGTACCCACGCCTCCGGTGTTTGTATCATCGCCATCTCTGCCTCATCATTTTTGTTTGCTAAAATGAGAAGTATTTGCTTATTATTTCGAAATTTTTAAGCGTGCAAACTTACAAAATTATAAAAATTTGTTCCTCACTATTGTTATCGGTTACCATGCGTGCAAT